AGAAGAAGGCGGATCCGCAGCCTGAAGCTCTTCAGCCCAAGGGGAAAGAGCCAAATCGGGCGGCCCTAGGTGCAGTGGACGCCAAGGCCGGCAGAGGGCTGCGTTCGGACAGAATCGCGGAAGACCCCACAAAGAGCGAGAGAGAGAGAGAGAGAGATGATTGGGGCGGGGGCAAAGCAAAGAGAGAGATGATCCAGAGGATGCTGTGCAGAGAAGGCAGCGCTTGACCCGGTGGCCTTCGAAGAGACTCTTCCAGTGGCTCCGGTGTCTTTGTCGCATATCTTCGGGCAAGCCCAGTGCCATTCTTTTGACATGGCGTTAAGTTTAAATTGAAGGGTTGCGAAGATAGGAATAAATCGTCCTCAAAAAGCAGGCTCCAATTTACAGCCTGCTTGGCGGCCGATTTGAGCACAGAGCCCCCAATTGCAGATAGCACTGCATCGAAGAACTACTGTAACGAGCTGATGTCCTTGGCAAGACTTGTGCCGTTGAGGTCCGTCACGTTGTAGCATGTCCAGAGGCCAGAGAGAGCACTGAAAACTGCGGAAAGGCAGTCTACATTGCCTACCCTATATTGTGAGGCCCCGACGTTGGGCCTGGGCCCCTGTCCGGTGTTAGGGCAGCTGCCGGAAGAGGCAGAGCTCCAAGCGGGCTGAGGGCTGAGGGCTTTTGGCTATCCGAAGCTTCGAAGCTTCAGGACTCACTGATCTGCTTTGTAGGCGCCTGAGCACTCAGCCACTTTGGGGTCCATACCGTCCGCAAGACAGCAGGACAGGACGAAGGGACATTAGTCAGGTAGATGATAGAACGCATCGGGCGTGCTGGTGAGCTAAATCCACCTCTTCTTGCAAATCATTGCAGGTGGCAGTGGAAGACGCGACTGGCACGACGAGCGGCTTGCCGCGGTGGGCATAGGTCAGTTGAACATTGTCAACCTGTCACGGGCATGCGAGGTAGGACGTTTCCAAGACTGCTCGTGTCCTTCTGCCACAGGTTTTCCGATTGTAATTACGGTCCAGGCTTAGGTCCCGACATAGCGCTGCAAAAGGAAACTTCATCATTCGTTTAGGTTGGCCAACCTCGCCAAACATCGCAGGACCTTGCCTCCGCCTTTGACCTTTGCCACGTCTCGCAAACCACGTTAGGCAGTCGGCCAACTCCTAGCCGGTTCAGTATTCTTGTAGTTCGTTTGATGTGCCAAGTTACAAGCGACCTGGCTAACCATGCGGAATGTACTTCACATGACCGCTTGTGCGGTCCATGGTTGAGGCATCGAGCCCCACATCACCCTGGAGCTGAATGGAGCTGGTGTGAAGGCTGAGGCCAGAGGGACCCTGCGCATGTTCACAACCTACCTCCAGAGTTGTAAGTGCCAGATCTTAGTCTGGGTTGTCGTTGATCGGAAAAGAGCCCAAGACCGATGCACCTCACCATCCTCACGCTGGATCTCTAGATTCGCAACAGGAAGACCGCGGGCCCGGAACGGGCCTGCCTAGCGTGTAGGAGCAGATGCACTGCACATCGCCTCGGCAGTCTGTTCGGAAGAGCTTTCACATCTCGGAGACCAGAGGTTCGCTGCGATCATATATGTGCACGACATGACTGAAAACAGTATTCAGGACAAGATCAGATGGGAAGCGACCAGTTTCAGTCGTCACGAGTGCTTCGGGGACCAAGAGGGCTAAGGCTGCAAGTGGGGAATCTGGCTCCAGAGTAGGCCGTCCCGCGGCACAAACATTTGAGGGCAATGGGCGCCAACATACGGGTTTGGGCAACGTCGGACTTCACAGCACAGTCAGTCGTGGTTTGTCTGTATGATGTTAGCCTGCAGATATCTGTACAAAGAAACAGACAACCATGCATGCATGGATGCATGCCTAGACGCATGTGTGTATGCGTGCATGTGTGCATGATTGTGCATGTGTGTATGTCTTGATGTGCACTGCATCTTTGGCCAGGCCTCCCTGGCATCCCGGCGCCTGGGCTCCTGGGCTCTCTCCTCTCCCCTGGCTGTCGGGAGGCGGCACCAGGCGCACGGTAGTTTCACGCTTAGACTTAGACTCTAGGTCAGCAACCAATGCATCGTGTTGTCTCTGCCGACTACTTTGTGGCATGGTCAGGGACTCAGGGACTCGTGGGGGTTGAAGGCGAAGAGTTCGCGGTTTTCGTGGCCAGCCCGGAGTTGAGCATGTAACAGACGCTTTCAAGCAAGATTTTGAAAAGGCTGACCAGCTGCGTTCTGTGATCGTGCGGGTCTCGTGTCTGCAAGTCGGAGAGGGTGAAATGGGAAGTGGCCATGCAGTGGAAACCTGTTCGCAAAAATTGACATGGTGTTACTGCTCATAGAAAGACAGTCAAAATGTTGATCGCATATAGAGCTCCTATCAACTTGGCCTCCCTATAGATCAAGTCTGACGGCAAGGAATGCCTCCAGTTCATTAGCCGTGATCACTTCGCCGTGGAATTCCGCGATGAGGAGGCGTGTTGTCGATCCGATTAGTTTGATCGAGAAGTGGGGCCATTTCTTGGACTCGAGACCAGCCGAGTGAGCCGAGTGACCTTCAGAGGACGCAGGGAAGCTCTAGCTGAAATCAGTTGTGTCTGAACATGTCTGAACATTCCGCACGACTCTGCATGGCTACGGCTCAAGTTGAAGGAGTTACCGGTCGAACTCGTACTTGCTCGAGCCATGGCGCTGAACCGCCGGTTCAACTTGTGGCTTGTGCCTCTTGGGACATGGCTCGCGCTTGTCCTCTCCGGATGCGCTGATGGTGGATCGGATGGCTCCACGCCGGAAACCGACACCACTCAGGGATTCTTGGGTCCGACGCCTACCACGTCTACAACGACCTGGACCTTCATTTTGCCGGAGAGATCTCAGGCGATGGACGCCCAGTTCCTAATCCAGGCGACCTTCGGCCCAACGCGCGCCTCCCTGGCAGAGATCGGTGGCTTGGATTACGACGCTTGGCTCGAGGCGCAGCTGTCACTGCCTCCGACGCTTCTGCGCAGCCGCTACCGTGCTCGTGCGAACCCACAGGTTTCCGAGGACAAGCCTGCCGGAGTGCCACGCACCTCTTGCGAGGTTGGATCCCGCTGGCTGCGCAACACGTTTACTTCCGCTGACGTGGGTGCACGGGTTGTGGCCAATGGTGCACACATCTTCATTGCTGGGGCCAGGCGGACAGCGCTTGATGCCTCTTACACGAAGAACTCGCTCCCAGCCCCGATGAATTGCTCTTCTATTGGCCGCGATTGGTGGCAGTGGCATCCTCATCGCACCTGCGCAAATCAGATTCGAGCCTGGACATGCAGTGGAGCCGAGGATTGGACAAAGGATAAGACATGCCAACAGGAATGCTTCGATGGCGGCTATCGGTATGGATCCGATGATTGTTCGCCAGGATGGCCCAACTTCAACTTCACCGGCTATCTTTGCTCCGTGGAGCCTGCCACAGGCGTCGGGAGCCAGATCGAGCTCTCCGTGGATGCAGCGTGCGAGGAGAAGATCGTGATGCTGAATCCGGGCTTATATGTTCCAGGCCTGACGGACGTAGGGGGCACCTTCCAGAGAGTGCGCCCTTCGGTCATTGCTCTCGAGCAGAGCCCGTCGAATTGTGACTTCCAGGAGTTCATTCAAGTTGATGGGCAGGCCTTCCAACATGAGCCTCGGCTGAAGCTGCTGGACGTGACCAGCCCAGCGGATGTTTGTGTGGCAGTCCCGAAGACCCCCATGAATCTGGAAGCCTGTGAAGTGCAAGCCGGACGAGTTTGTGATCTGGCCCGGGGAACAGACTCGACTCTTATGTTGAATAGCTCGTCTTTGCAGCTGCTCTCAGAGCATGCGAACCGGCACATCTTCACCGTCGCCGGTCTTCCCACTTCCCTCAGTCCTTGTGGGACATTGGCCCGCTGGAAGCTCTTGGACTGCTCGACGGACACCTGCACTCCCTCGTCCTTGCAATCCTCGGATACCTCACTCATTCGGGCTGCCCTTTCCACACAAGGGGGCGGCCTACGCGATGTCTATGTCAACTGTGTGGCGGTGCCTGCAGCTTCTGTCGTGGAGGTCGGGAGCGATACCTTCCAGCACGTGCACATCCATGAGGGCAACGTCTACGACTTCACCGACTGGGTTACTTCACATCCAGGCGGCGCCACTGCGATCACCAAGTGGAGCAACAGTGACTACAAGTTGCAGTACCCGGGAAACCACCCCGTGGAGCGCTTTGAGACCCAGGTGAACAACAAGGTGTTGCTATACATCGGTAAGGCGGACTCGGAAGTGCGCTACCTTGACCTTCCCACGAGCGTCAAGACAGAATCACTGGCTCTTGCACTGGCCAATGCTTCCGACTCCCAGACCTTGTCTCTTGCATGCCCCTCCCCGGGCGAAGTAGCCAACAGCCCGAAGCTGGGCAATAACATGCCCTTCTATTACCGCTTCATCGATTTCGCGGACCTTCGCAACGACCTGGACTTTGACCACCCGAGCGAGCACAAACATTCGGGAAGGCCACGTCTCCCGAGGATTAGCGCTTGGATGAATCAGGTCGCCACGGCACCCGACCAGCTCCGACAGCGCATGGCATGGGCTTTGTCCCAGATCCTGGTCGTTGGCCTTGGTGGCTTCACTTATTCGGAGCAACACGAGATCTGGGTGAATTACTACGACATCCTGGTGCGCAATGCATTCGGGAACTACCTGGACCTGCTACGAGAGGTGACCTTCAACCCGCTGATGGGCGAATACCTCTCATTCCTGCGAAACACGGCCTTTGATCACGACCAGAACTACCCTGACGAGAACTACGCCCGCGAGGTGATGCAGCTGTTCTCCATTGGCACCGTCGAGCTGAATCAGGATGGATCCTGGGTCCTGGATGGTTCGGGCAACCCGATGCCCACTTATGACAACGACGACATCATGACCTTCGCCAGCGTTCTTACCGGGTTCGATCGTCAGGAGTGGCGCAGCAATATCGAAATGGTACCGAGCACATCTGCTGGCAGAAACATCATCGATCCGATGAGGATGGTGTCACGGTGGCATGATGCCTACCCCAAGATGGACCTGCACGGGAACTACCTTGGCGACGGCTATCCCTTGTGCGCGGATCTGCGGGACGACCAGTTCCTTCGGCAAGGGGCTCGCTACGAGTTTCTTGCCCAGGAGGCCCCGAGCTCGGTCCTCCAGCTTCGCCCCGAGTCGGCCCTCTACCAGGCTCTTTGCTCGGCGGACGGCTCCGGCTCTTGCCGCTTCTCCTCCAGCGTCGTGTTGGGCACGGATCTGACATGCTACCAGGAAGAGTGCCGTACTACCCATCCACGAGTGATCAAGGTTGGCGAGGCCTTGTACGAGTTTGTGCCACCAGCTTGCGTGCACTTTTTCTTCTTCGAAGGCCGGATCGCGACTGGAAGCGCCTCGAGACGTTTCTGGCAGTCTCGGATGATCTGCACGAATCCGGAGACCTTCGTGGCAGGCGCCTATTGCTGTGATGGTTGCTCGAACATCCCACCCCCTCAGTGGCTGGAACATGGTAACTGTCAGAACCTAAGTGATGGTTGGTTCACCACCAGTGGCTGCAACATTCAAGGCCCAGGAAGCTGGTGGGACAGGAACAGGTGGTGCGAGCAGAGGTGCGACTCTCTCGGGCTGGGGTACGCAGGGAATTGCACCAAAGAGTATGAAGAGGCTCATGTCTGTGGCTACCACCAGGAATACATGTCCTACGAGGCTGCTACCCGCCGCTGTGCTGAGGAGGGGCTGAAGATCTGCGATCGTGGCACTGAGTTGACGACATGTGGACTTAATGATGATGATACTGCCAGGGTGTGGACGCCGGAAGCCTGCACCACCAACGTCACGGTGGATGAGATCGGAAGGGTCAGCTCTCAAAGGACTGACAAGATGAAGATGAACCGGCTCAGGGTGCAATGGACGAACGGGTTCCCGGACGTGCAGAACTGCCCATCCGACTGCACCAGCTTGGAGAATTCCTGTGAATGCCCCATTCGCGTCGAGACCCGTGCCGTTTTCACTGGCCTTCCGACTGCCTCGGAGCTGTCGGCACTGACGGTGGGTGCTTTGCCCCCTCGGGAAGCCTGCAGCCACTGCGGAGACGTGAAAGCCTACACCGTCGACGCTACGTTTGATGAGAAGACGGTCTTTGAGTACCAGGGCAAATACTACCGGAATATCGAGAGCCTTGTCTACGTGGCCGGCAAGAGCTTCCGCAATCCACCGCGATTTGGGCTGGAGGAGGCGGTGACTGAGCGCTCGGCCCGCTGGGAGATTGAGAGTTTGCTGGAGCACTTGGTGAACCACCGCAACACCCCGACCTTCATCGGGTATCGACTCATTCAGCGTTTCGTCACCTCGAATCCATCTCCTGGTTACATCTTCGACGTCGCTGAGGCATTTAAGACGGGCACCTACCAGGGGCACACATTCTCAGGCCGTCGCGGCGACCTGGGAGCCACAATCGCAGCCATCCTTCTTCACCCCGAAGCTTTGGGTGCAGCAAGTCGCCGGGGAGCATTGCGTGAGCCACTGATCAAGCTCGTACATTTCCTGCGGGCTATGGATTTCGAAGATGCAGCAGGCCGCGAGATCATGTTCTTGGAGCTGCAAGAGCTGATTGGCCAGGGGCCGTTCGGGTCACCGTCTGTCTTCAACTTCTACCGCGCAGACTACCAGTCGAACACCATGCCAGCAGATGTGGTGGCCCCGGAGGCGCAGATCATGGACGCCAGCAACATGGTTAACTTCCTCAACGGCATGTTGTCCCTCATCAAGAACGGTGGTGTGACAGACTGTGACGGAGGCTTCGGCCTTGACACGAAGACTTGTGATCAGAAGTCGTTCAAGCACGGCCTGAACATCACGCAGTCCAGTGCCACGCAAGTTCTGGATGACCTCAACCTGCTATTGACAGGTGGACGGATGACGAACGCCACCAAGGATGTGGCACGCGCCAGTTTGGAGGGCTGGGGAGAGGATCAGAAGGTCAGGGCCGCACAGGAAGCGGTTATCCTCGCACCTGAGTTCCACACCATTGGGTCGCCCCTTCCGGAGGGTCCGCGCAGTGACCAGACACAGACCAACACGGAGGACGTCCAGCCGCGATCTTACAAGGCCTTGATCAACCTCTATCTTAATGGCGGGGCCGACACCTTCAACCTTCTCGTGCCACTGGATTGCACGCTCCACGATGAGTACATGGCTGTCCGAGGTCAGGCGGCGCTCTTGAACTCAGAGCTGCTAGAGATCCAAACCACTGGGCAAGCGTGCAGCAAGTTCGGCGTGCATCACAAACTCCCGGTGATTCAACAGCTTTACCGGGATGGAAAGGCCGCATTTGTCAGCAATGTCGGGAGCCTGGTCCAACCCCTGAATCGGAATGAGTACGACAACGGCCTGAAACCGGTTTGTGCCGGCCTTTTCTCCCACTCCGACCAGACCGAGGCAGCGCAGACCCTGAAGTGTCAAATCCGGGG